TAGCGGGTCCTCCTGGCAGAGGGACGCTCTGGTAGGATCTGGGCTGGCTCTGGCAGTGCTGGCCCTGGGGTGGCAGGCTTGCCCTTTGTCCCCTCAGCCTTGGGGAAGTATTCTGGGCGGGGCAGCATGTCTTCCACATTGCTGAGTGGCTCAGGATCCAGAGGGACTTCTGGGGCCATGTGTGGGGGTTGCAGGCCAGTGCAGTCTGCGGTTCCCTGTTGCAAACATCCAGGAGCTGGTACTGGGCATGAGGGGTGCCTGGCACCAGCAGGGTCTGCTGCCAGTGCTGGGCTCTCCAGTTCCATGGAGGTATAGTTGACCATGTCGGAGGTGCTGCCCACAGCTGGCCTCTGTAGGCGCCCCAGAGGCTGAGTGAGCCCCCCTGAGCTGTGTCGTTGCTTCCAAAGCCAGGAACCATGGCTCCCTTCCTGAAGGTCCCATTCTGAGCGGCTCTGGGCTTGGGTCTGAGGGAAAGTAGAGGCAGGGGCTTGGTGACAGCATCCTTCCCCTGGCCTCCAGGCACCCCTAATCACCCTTGACTGCCTTTCTCGGCTCAGGAAAAGCAGAGCTGCCCTAAGGAAAGGCTTCCAGGGCCATGAGAGCTGGACAAAGGGGCAGAGCTCCGGGAAGGCCCTTCAGCATTTAACTCACCCCTTCCCACTCTACATATGAGGAAAGTGAGATCCAGAGAGGACACTGACATGAATAATGTCATACATGAGGGCCCAACTGCTGCTTTCCCAGGCATCCACAGGTCTCCAGCCCTTTGGAATCAGCTGCACTGGGATTAGGGGCTTCGTGGGCATGCCTGCCACCAGTGCCCATGGCCTCTGCCTGCTGCAGCCTTCAAGAGAACCTGCAGCCACCTCCCCAGTCCCCTCCCACCTGAGATTCCCAGGCACACCTGGGCATAGAGATGTACCTGGGACATGAGGAAGTCATGGAAGAGGGTTCCCCTGAAAATGGGACAGACCTGACCTGTGTCTGCTGTTTTCCCCTGGGGCCAAGTCTGGCTGTGGGGGTGAGAGGAAAGGGCCCGGGATCCCAGACCCATAAGGACACTGCCCCTATCAAACCATGTTTTCAAGGAGAGGTTTATGTTCTTGGCAACAGAGGAGCCAAGTCTGGGGTCAAAATTCCTTCTAGCAGGGACCCTTGATCCCAAATGCCTCAATTTACTCATCTATGAAATAAATGCAGCCTCTCATTCACCAGGGGCTGAACGCCTCAAGAGACAGAAGGGGAGAGTGGTTCATGTGGGGGCCTGTAGCGAGGCCAGCTGGGCTTGAATCCTAGCTCTGCACCTTCATTTACCCATGTGTAAAATTGGCATGATAATAACAGCACCTGCTTTCTGGGAGAGCTGTGAAGATTTCATGAGATAATCTATGCAGAGCACCAGCACATAACAAGTACTCAATTAAGCACTAGTAATTATTCACGGCATTCAGGACCACAGAGAGACACATGGCTGCTTGAGCCAACTCCAAGGGGAGGACACCCAGTACTGACCAATCCATGGCTCAGATGGGAAAACTGGCCAGAAGGTTAAGCCACTGACCCAGCATCACACCAGGGGTCCATGCCAGGAAGTGGGTTAAAAGGTCCGAAGATGGGAGAAGGTCAAGTTAAAGCAGGAAGTGTGGAAAAGGGGGTCCTGGGAACAGGTGCAGACCCTACATACCTCCCTGGGGCCCGGCATTAGGAAGCTCATGTTTCCTGGGCATCTAGGCCCCATGCCGGATGTCCTAAATTTATTACCGCATTTCTCAAAGCAATCCTGAGAGACATGAGTGTCCCCATTTTGCAGATGGAGAAACTGAGGTTCAGAGGTAAGGAGTAATCTGCCCAGGGTCACCCAGTAAATCAGTGGCAGAGGGAGGACTAGAGAACTCCAGTTGCCTGACTTGTGAGTAAGGGTTCTCAGGGCCTGCCCCTCCCCTCCCTGCCTCCCCTTTATATTCTCTCCTACCTTGAGGCTGACATTGTTAGTGCTGCCCTGGCCTTGGGCTAGGTCAGGGCAGCTCTGGCCACCCCAGGGCCTGGAAAGGAAACACAGGGGGAAGGGAATGAGGCAGCCTTCTCCTTTCCCACCCCAAGACTTGACCCAGGGACCTTCCCCACTTTTCTCAGAGCCCACAGGCTGGATGAGCTCCTGAAACCGGGGGAAGGGGGGAAGCCTGTGCAGCAACCTCCTCTCTGCTCCCTCCCCCAACTGTCCACTCTACCTCCGGAGACAGAGAATGAGACAGGGATGGGCTTGGGAGAAAAGTGGGGACTAGGACCCTCCCCTTTTCCCAGAAAAATGAAAAAGTGCCCCAATAATTCCAAAGCTCTCCATTTGCTGAAGCCCTCCCTGCACCAGGCTTAGCACTAGGTATTGTGCCTACCTAGTCTTTTTTAACCTCACAATAATCCTAAAAGTGCCACATTTTTCAGATAAGAAAACTGAGACCCAGAGAGGTGAAGTAACTTGCCAAGAGTCACACAGCTAATGAGCCTTGTAATTAAGACACTGAGACCATCCCACTTCAAAGGCTGGTTGGACATCACCACACTAATGGAGGCAAGATGAGGATGTGCCTTGGCTGCCTCCTGCATGCACTCTGACCCCCTCCCCAGGAAATCAGCAGGAATCAGAGGCCTGTGCCTCACTCAGTCCGATTCTCACGGCTGGTGAGAACTGAATCCAAATGCATACATGGGGTGTGTCTTTATGCTAGTGCAGGAGCCTACGCAGTCCCTTCCCTGCTCTCCACATCCCTGAATCACCTGTACCCAGCCCCACCTCCTTGCAAGTGGAAAAGGGAAGGGCGCAGTGACACCTGGGCCTATAGGGCAGGTTTCTGCCAGGCAGGGTAAAGGGAGAGGGCGTGTCTTCCAGCGGGGTAGGGCAAGGCACTGGCAGGGTGTGGGCACCTCCCCCGAGGTCACTCAGGCTTCCCGGTATAGTAGGGTGGCTAGGCCCTTCCCTCCCCTCTCTCTTTGGGGTGAGAGAGCAGTACAAACCCTTCCCTCCCTCTGCCCCCACCATGCCCCATTCCTCCCAGGGTGAACTGAAGACAGTTGTGTTATGATAAGATCAGAACAAATTGCTGGGTAACTGCACAGGCACAAGCACCCCACCCTCTTTTCGGATATAGAGCCCAGGAGCTACTGGGGTCCTCTTCACTACGCCCTCCCAGCCATTCCGCCTGGCCATCCGCACAGCCTTTCCTCCCGCTCAAACATCAGCTACCAGTGAGTGGGCTGGGAAAGATGAAGTAATGTGTTAAGGTTACATGGCCAGTGGCATCTAGGCTTAGGACAGAGCTGTGGCCCCCTGGCTTGCAGTCCTTGGGTCTCTCAAGACAACAGAGCAGCCCAGGGCTTCAGGATGTGAGCTCTGGTGTTAGACGGCTTAAGCTTGGATTCCGGCTCTACCACTTCCCAATAGTGATGTTGGGCAGGTGACTTTACCTCTCTGAACCTCCATTTTCATATCTGAATCACACGGAACACCTGTCTCATAGAGCTGTTATAAGGATTAAATGAGATAATTCAAGTAAGGCACTAAGCAAGTGGCAAATAAAGGCTGATTGTTATTAAATCTGGGATGACAGGGAAAATCCCTCCATAGCATCTAAGGGCAAGTGCAGTGCAGCCTAAGACAACTCAGGAACCTGTCATACTCCTGACAAAGGGACACGAAGACCGGAGGGAAACTGGCCTGTGATGTGAGAATCAAAGTCCACAGAGGCGGAAGGAGCTACTACTTTGCCTTTAATCTCCTTGGGAGAAGAAATCATCATCAGCAGGCGGCTAGCCTGACTCAGGAAATGGCAAAAGTTGTTTTAAAGTTTTAAAAAGAGCACAGGGACTTTATAAAGACCATCTTCACATTTACATACCCCAAATCGACACATTTTTATGCTCCTAGAGACTCACATACGCTTATTTTAATATCTACTACGCTCTAAAACAGACACACACACACACACACACGCACGCTAGGGCACCCCACGCGGCCCTCCATCCCCTCACCTATCCTGGGCTCTGGCCTCCTTCGGGGTCCGCTTCCCCCTGCGCTCCCTGCGGACCCCTAACCCTGACAGGCGACGGACCAGGCGGACCCCAAGGCCCTCGCGCCGATCGGCCATGGCGAGGGCAAGGCCCGGGGTTAGGGGCGTCGGGGCACCCGACCTCTCCCGGCCGCCGGGCCCACCAGCAGCCGCTCATTTGCAGAGAACCGCCCACTCCGGCCCTTCCCCCAGAGCAAACAGCCGCCCCGCCCGCGTGGGGCGGGGGCCCGACCCAGATGCTGCCCGTACCCCGGGGCAGCAGGTGCGCTTTGCAGGGGCCGCCCCCACCACAGGCCGCAGGCCCTAGGTCGCTGCGCCTGAGCCCCCTCTCCCCGAGGCCCTGCCCGCGAAACTTCAGGTCTCCTGGAGGTGCCAGGCGCCCACAGACAGCCATGCCCCCAGCTGGGTCTAAACGAAGGGGTCGGAGCAACAGAAGCCCGGGCCAGGAGCCGGAGCGGAGCGGAGGGTCTTCCCCCCACGAAGGCGGGGCTAGAACACAAGGGCGGGGCCGTGCGCGGGAATGGGCGTGGCCTTGCCTACTGGGCGGAGCCTTACCCAGGGGTTGGCGTCTCGCGTGGTGCCAAAGAGGTGACTGAGTGGGCTTGGAACCAGGACCTTGATTACCGATGGGGGGGCCGAAGCCGACCCTGCCATTGCCCTGCCGTGGTGGGCTCCCTATGAGATTTCTCTCTGTCCTGGAGACCTACGACGCAGCGGTAATCTCGCCCAGTACCCGGGTGGGGAAGCCGCTCTGAAACGCACGTGGTTGCGAATGGCGCCCCCTGCTGGAAGTTGTCTGTTGTTATGTAATAATAGCTACCACGCACTGTGATACAACCTGGGCCTGTCTCCTCCCAGGCAGCGCCGTTTTCCACCTGTTGCTGCCTCTGTAACTCTCGAGTAGGGGCAGGGCAGACCTTGCCCATTTAAGGGGATCCTCTAGGACTGCAGGAAGAAAGGCCATCAAGAGGGTCTCAGATCCCCAGGCTCTCTTTGCTAGTTCTTCCCTGCCTGTAGTCCTTGCAGGGCCTCTACTCCTTCCCTGAGCCCAGCACCTCCTTAGCCCTTTGCCCTCTGTGGTGACTGGTGCTGGCACATGGGACATCATGCTTTTCGGTCATGATGTTCACTGACATCCTGTGTTCCTGCCCACACAGGGAGTTCAGTCCTGGCATGTACAGGCCATGCATGGCAGGGAGTAACCAGTTGAGGGGGCACAAGGGTCTGCTAAGAACTAAGACAAGAAGATGGTGGGAAGCAGCAGACAGACATTTGGACAGATCAGAGGGCAATGTGGCCCCTGCTTGGCAGCACAATCTGCACCTTGCAGAGTCCTGGAAGGCTGGATTGCCCATCAGTGAGCTGAGATGAAGGGCCTGGTCCCAAGAGGGAGCAGAACCCAAGCCCAAGCCAAAGGTAGATGACTGCAGGCACCCATTCCATGTGTGGACCGCACAGACTCTTCCTGCCTGTCTCTTGACCCACTCCAAGGTGAGGTGTGAAGTCTGGCAAATACACGGTGGCTTCCCCCTCCATTGTTGAAGCTCAGGAGGCCTCAACTGGTTGTAGAGAAAATCGTTTAATTGCTCTGCCCCTGCCCCCTCCCCAGAGCAGTTCTGACACCACTACTCAGGTTGGCTGCCCTTGGTTTCCCTGAGATGCTGAAGACACCTTGATCTTGTCTGCATCCCAGCCAGTCTGCCTCTCTGATGGTGCCATCACAAAATCTAGTGCCCCCTGGTGCCACCGGACAAGGCAGGTGAGAGACGCCAGAGGTAGGTGGGTATGAGCTAGGCTACAGGGCTGTGGAGTGTGCAGCCGATGGTGCAGCTTCAGATGAACGTTCTGGGTGAAGTGACTCGGGTAGACACTGCGTTGGAAGGACTGGGCCCCTGAGTGCAGGCGCAGGTGGGTCTTGAGGTTGCTGGAGCTGCTGAAGCGCTTGTGGCACATCTGATGGAAATGAGCACTGGCATCAGTTCTGCCCACCCAGCTGGCTCAGGATCTCTGTTCGCCCTCCCTACACCCCTCCCACCTTCCTGTAATACAGGCTCGGAAGCTCCCCCCACCCCAGGATTCCACCCTGGAACCCACAGTGTCTGGCACATTAGAACCAGGCAGACCTGGGTTAGTGTTCTGGTTTTTTTACTCCCTGCATGACCTTGTATAGGTGACTTCCCCTCTCTGAGCCTTGTTCTCCTTATTGGGAACATGTGACTTTTAATACCTAACCCCATCGGTATGATAGACTGAACGAAATAATCACATGGAACTTTTATGAGTGGGGCTGCAGCTTCAGTGGGCGTAATTAACATGGACTGGGAGCAGCCACATGCTAGGAATCGGTCTCATGCAGTCTTCCCCAGGACCCTGGAGATGCACAACTAAGCACTAGTACAACTCCTATATGACAGTGAGAAAGCAGAGGTTCAGAGGAGTGAATCCACTAGCCAAAGGTCACACAGCAAGTTGGAGGCCAAGCAAGGACTTGAATCCATATAGCCCAGACTCATAACCACTATGCTGCTTTCATTTCTGCTTCTGTAAAACAGGGAAAGAGTCCCTACCCTTCTGACCTCCCGAGGGATGTGGAGAGGCTCAAAGAAGGAGAGAGCTGATGTTACTTATATGCAGTGTTTGTACACTCTCCACACATTATGGCATCAACTCCTCCAGCAATGCAGGAAAGAAGGTAATGGGTATCCACTCCCCAAGCCCCCCAACTTTATTATCTTCCCTCCACAGACTTGCATCTCTATTCCCCACCCCAGACCCCATGAGTGACCTTCAGTGTCACATCCTGGCCCTTCCAGGCTAAGAGGGGTCATTTTTACCCTCCTCCATCTCCCTCCCTCCCCCCACCCTCGCCTCTACTTGCTCAGGAGGGCTGGGGATGGAGGCCGCAGGTGCCATCCCCCCAGGGACCTGGACTCCTTCTTGCCTACCTGCAGGAGTACAGGAGAAGGGGAGAGGGTCTCACCAGGCACTTGTAGGGCCGCTCTCCAGTGTGCACCAGGTGGTGCTTCTGCAGGTGGGCGAGCTGTGTGAAGCTCTTCTGGCACAGGGCACACTGAAACGGGCGCTCCCCGCTGTGTACACGCAGATGGACCTGAGCCAGATGTGGGAGAAATGCTGCCAGCTGCCCAGAGCCCTCAAGCAGGGCCTGGGGTCCTCTCTGAATCTCTATCCACACTTCCACAGGACTTCATTTTGGTGTTGAGGCTTCTCAACCCCCTTGCCTCTCCGTCACCACCCCCCTTAGGGCCTCTCTTCCATTCCTCAGGACACCCCCTCTTTCTGTTGCCCTAAGGGAAGGAGGATGGCAATGGTAAGAAGCCAGGTAAGGGGCATATACATATATATACTGAGTAACGCTTCTTAAATTGTGGTCCACAGACCAAAAGCATCAGCAGCACCTGGGAGTACATTAAAACTGCAGATTCTCAGGCCCCACCCTGATCAGCTGAATTAGAATCTCTAGGGCTGGGACCTAGGAATCTGCATGTTTACTAGCTCTTCTAGTAGTTTAATGCTCTTTAAAGTTTAAGAACTCATGCCCTAGAGAGGGATGGAGAACCTTTCTTCTGCCAAGGGCCATTTGGATATTTATAATGTCATTCGTGGGCAACACAAAATTATCAACTTAAAAATTAGCTATGAAAAAGGCACCTAGACTTATGGGATTTCAAGTCTCACCTGTGGTTGGTTGCCTTGGCAGAGTCAGACTAAATGATTTTGTGGGCCACATATGGCCCGCGGGCCAGACGTTCCTCACCCCTGCCCTAGAGGATCAAGAAGGGATCTCCCCCCAGTAATCATAACCTTTCCTCAGCCTCAGCAGTGCTGACTTGTGCATAGCTGCCCATCTTTGCTGACACACAGAGGTGTGCCCATGGCTGCCCTCTGATGGAAGCCAATGGTACCGACTGATTTGTGGGATCCCACTTGAAAAGGGCTGGCTGTCAGTTCTGTGGTGTAGACTCACTAAAATCTACCTGTTCTCCCGCTGAACTTCAAACAAACAAACAAACACGAGGAGGCTTAACTGAGAATCCAAAAAGGGTGGTTGTTCAGGAAAGGGCTTTGCACTAGATGCTGAGAGACTGAGATCGAGGCCTACCTCCACCATTAAATCAAAGTGACCTTGGGCAAACTTCCCATTAGGATCCTCAGTTTCTCTATTTTTAACTTAAATGAGATGATTTCATAGACAGTTTTTTAGGGTAGAGAGGACTTTGGTAGCCGTCTTATATCTTCTCTCTACAGATATGAAACTGAGGGGCCAAATGAACCATCCAAGGTCACAGCCTAGCTGCAGCCCAGGAGTTCCCTCTGGCTTTAAGGTCCTTGATGCTAAAAGTAGGAAGGGAGGGGGCAGCCACTGAAGGGTGCTGAGGGGGGGCAGTGGAGCCAGGAGGCCTATACCTTGAGGTTGGAGAGCTGCCCGAAGCTCTTGCTGCACACGTTGCATTCGTACAGGATCTTGCCATTCTCCTTCTTCAGCGGGTAAGGCAGGGGGGCCCGCTTCGCTGGAGCCACCCTGCGAGCCTGCTCCGGCCTTGGCCAGGAGGGCCTGGCAGCTCCAGGGCCTGGACCCCGGGCCTGGGGAAGTTGGGTTTGGCCAGAGGCTTGGGAGGTCCCTGGGTAGGGATGCAGGGTCTCCCCCCAAGAGCTGTGGTGCCCAGGGTCACTGACACTCATCAGCGTGCTGGGCACAGCCATGGTGGGGTAGAAAGTGTCTTGGGGCAACAGGAAGAGGGGGTGACACTGGACAGAAGGTGAGACCCCATAGGTGAACAGGTAAGGTGGAGGCAGGAGAAATGGATACGCAGGACAGAGGGGGTGAAGGCGGAATGGGAGTTCCTTGGAGATGGGAATGGGTGGGGGGCAGGAGCAGAAAGCCAGGGGGCTGGGGCACTTTCTCTGCTGCCAGGGAGCTGGGGAAGAGCTGCTGTGAGGAGAGAAGGACGGGTAGAGGGCCTCCTCATCAGCTCTTTCCTGCTGGCTTCCCATCTTGTCCCTGCTCAGAGGGTACTTGGATGGGAGTTTCTCGTCACCGGGGGAGCCGCCATGTGGCCCTGGTGGCTGGTGCTCTGAGAAGGAAAGGGAAGCCAGTCAGGGTTCGCAGGCTGGGACGAAGCCCTGCGCCCCATCTAACCTGCCCGCTGGGGCTGGGGGAGAGCTCCAGCCTGCAGGCCTCTCGGTTGCCTGGGGGAAGGCGGTCCCCGATCTGGACTTCCCTGGTCTGTAACTGCACTTGCCAAGAACAGCGGCCAGTAGTTGGGCGGTGGGATGAATTGGTTTAGAGTTTCAAGGAGAGGTCTGAGCTGGAGATATAAATTTGGGTGCCAGGGGCCCAGATGATATCACATGAGGATGACACTAAGTCTGCTGTGTCCCAAATGGACACCTAAAACTAATTAAAATAAATACAATTTAAAAATGCAGCTCCTTGATGGCACTAGCCACATTTAAAAGGCTCAATAGGTATGGTATTAGACAGCACAGGTATAGACATTCCCATTAACACGGGAAGTTCTATCACACAGAGCTACTCTAAATTAAGGGAACAGGAGATGGGGGGGGAAGGGTTCAATGGGGAGAAAAAGGGACATCTGTAATGTTGTCAACAATAAAATAAATAAATAAAGTTAAAAAACTAAAGTGAGATGTTAACTAAAAAAAGAAGAGAGAGAAGAGGAGAGCAGAGAAGGGAAAGG